CTTTTATTTTTTTCACAATATTTTTTGAGTTATTTCCTTACTGGTTGCTCTAGAGCTTACCGTATACATCTTATTGGGATTTACTTCAGATTTATGCTCTTCAATTCCAGTAAGATAAGAAATGCTACTCCTATATAGCTCTATTCTATTTCCCTCTTTCTGTGCTGTTATTGTCATATATATGTTACAAACTCAACAATACATTGCTATAATTATTACTTCATATAATTTTATGTCTCTCAAAGCCGAGAGGAGAAAGGAAAGCAAGTATATATTTATGGCATTTGATATATAACCTTATTTTCATTTCTGATTCACTTCATCTGTTCCTATGGATTCGTGTTACTATCCAGTGTCATTTCCTTTGCCCAGTACAGCTTAGCTCCCACCTATCTCCTTTGTGCTGTTATTGGCAAATATATTACATTGCTATATGTTATAGGCCCAACACTACAATCACATATGTACTGCTTTATATAATTGCTTTTTTTTTTTTTTTTTTTTTTCCTTTTTTTTTTTTTTTCCTTTTTTTTTTTTTTTCCTTTTTTTTTTTTTTTCCTTTTTTTTTTTTTTTCCTTTTTTTTTTTTTTTCCTTTTTTTTTTTTTTTCCTTTTTTTTTTTTTTTCCTTTTTTTTTTTTTTTCCTTTTTTTTTTTTTTTCCTTTTTTTTTTTTTTTCCTTTTTTTTTTTTTTTCCTTTTTTTTTTTTTTTCCTTTTTTTGTCTTTTTTCGTGTCCGGCAACGGATTGCAACCCTCAGTGTCGCGCCCGTACCGGACCGGGACCGGCAACGGGATCGCACCCCTCGGTGTTGCTCCCACACCTCGCTCAGCCAGTGAGCGGGAACCGGTCTGTATGTGGGATCCGAACCCTCGGGCGGGAGCGCCGTCGCACTCCCAAGCGGCGCACTGTAGCAGTGCGCCACCGGGCCGGCCCTATAATTGCTTTTGAAATCAGTTAAGAGACAAAAGGAGAAGAAACATGCATTTATACTGTCTTTTATAATTACATAATTGCCATTACTAGTACTCTTTGTTTTTTTATATGGATTCAAATGACTGTCTGGGATCACTTGATTTCAACATGAAGAACTTTCTTTAGTATTTTTTTGTAAGGTGGGTGTGCTAGCCACAAATTCAGTTTTTGTTACCTGGCATGTCTTTATTTTGTATTTATTTTTGAAAAAGTAGCTTTGCTAGGTATAGGATTCTTGGTAGGCAGTCTTTTTCTTTGAGCAGTTTGAATATGTTATCACACTGCCTTCTGGCCGCCATTGTTTCTGCTGAGAAGTCAGCCATTAATCATATTTGGGTTCATTTATAAGTGATGAGTAACTTTTTTCTCTTGCTGCTTTCCAGATTTTCTCCTTGTCGTTGGCTTTCAGCATTTTTATTCTGATGCGTTTGTGGATCTCTTTGCATTTATCCTAGTTGGAGTTCATGTAGCTTCCTGGATGTATAGGGTTTTCATCAAATTTAGCAATGTTTCAGCCATTATTTCTTTGAATATTTTTTCTGCTCCCTTCTCTCTCTCCTCTCCTTTGTTGGTGTGCTTAATGGTGGACCACATTTCTGAGGCTCTGTTTATTTTTCCTTACTCTAGTTTGTCTTTGTTCTTTGGATTGCATAACCTCCACTGATCTATCTTAAAGTTCACTGATGCTTTCTTCTCCCATTTCAACTCTACTTTTGGGCCCCTCTTGTAAATTTTTTATTTCAATTATTGTACTTTTCAACTTCAGAATTTCTATTCTGTTTTTTTAAAATAACTTCTATCTCTTTATTGATATTCCTTAATTGATGAGGCATTGCCATCACATCTTCCTTTCCTTCTTTAGCATGGTTTCCTTTAGTTCTTTGAATATATTTATAACAGCCACTTTGAAGTCTCTGTTAAACCTGACATCTGATTGCTCTCACAGATTGTTTCTGTTGCTTGCTTTTCTTCTGGTGTATGAATCACACTTCCCTGTTTCTTCGCATGTCTTGTTATTTTTTGTTGAAAACTGGACATTTCATATGGCATATTGTAGCAACTTTGGGTACTGGTCTCCTTGCCCAGTTATTGTTGTTTCTTTGTTTATTCACTTAGTGACTGGCTGGGTTATTTTAGTGAAGTCTATTTCCTCTGAAATGTGAAGCCTCTGATGCTGCTTCTCAGAGAGCAAAATCTTGGGCATGAGCAGTCACCCTGGAATGAAAGTGGTTTTAGCAGGGCTCACTTCGTCTCTTTTCCAGATCACACCCAGCTTTAAGCTCCACTAATTGCTGGCTGATTGCTCTACTGCTTTTGACAATGTCCTGGGGCATTGCTCCATAGACATATCCCATTAAGTCCAGGTTCCTTTGTAATGATAGTTTTCTGAGGTCAGTGTTTAAGGTTTGTTCTGACCCTGCTAGGGCTATTTTTAGGTGTCACTTTCCCTGGTTATCTCTGGTAAACTAGCTGGCTTGTGGTTTAGCTTGTATCTCTAATGAAGCTATCGGTCTCCTCTTAATTGCTTTCTACCAAAATCTGCATTGTTTTTGAGAGTTTCCTTTGGCTTTAACTTTTCAAATAAAGTTAGTTCCTTTGGGAAGAACTTCAGAACTCTCTGTATTATGGCATGCCTGTCCCTCTGGACAAAATTTCTGATCCATGGCTCTAGAGTTGGGAGCAGGGAGAATGAGTGGCATGCTTCTGAGTGACACCTCTGCTTTACAAACTGGGTGCTAAGAAGGTGGTGGTAGCCTCTGGTCTTTTCAGCTTGCTTCTTCTAGCATGGAGCCTCTGCCCTACTAACAAGCTAAGGCAATAGTGATCAGGGCCCCAGGGCCTTGTATTCCCAGTGCACCACATCTAGGTAGAGTTTCTATCCAAGGAGTGGGAACTATGTGGAAGACAGAGCCTTTGACTCTCAACCTCATTACCCAGAACTTAGCCTCTGCAATAGGTACCTAGGGGGTGGTATGATAAATGCTGAAATTCTGCCCCTCCTGGGAAGATGCAGTAGCCCTTGATTAGAAGACTGGGGGAGAGGGAGTCCTGAGTTATTGGCTGCACCTCCCTGGAGTAAAGTTTTCCTCACACTGAGCTGGGAAGGGGAGGGAGGGAGCAGATTGTAGTTCAAATGCCACAGACTCTCATTGTTCTTACTGAATTTTAGTAGATTTTTTTGAATGAATTTTTTTTATTTTCTCTCTGCTCTTAGGACCATTTCCAGATACTTTAAATGGTGGTTAAAAAAATAAATTTTACAGTTTCAAGGGGGGAGCAGGACTGCAAAGCTCCTCATGATGCCATTCCAGAGGTGGAACTCCCCCCAAATTTTAATTATCTCAGAAAGGGTCTCAAAAAGACCAGAAGTGTCTCCAGTATATCAGGAATAGTCTCAAGCAACTCAGGAAGGGTCTCAAACATATCAGAACAGATTTAATAGTTGTCAAGAAGACTTTTAAATAGGTCAAAAAGGATCTTAAACACACAAGAAAACTCGAGAATACTTCAGGAACATGACAAACAAGTTAGGAACAGTCTCATATACATCCAGAATAGCATGAAATGCATCAGGAAGAGTTTAAACTACACAAAGAAGGGTCCCAAACAACTCAGGAAAGATCTCAAATATGTCAGTAAAGGTCTCAAAGATGTCAGAAATGTCTCAAACCAGCAAGAAGAAACTTGAATACATCAGGAAACATCTCAAACAAGTCAAGATAGGCCTTAGGATACCTAGAAAGAGTTGTAAACCTGTAAATAAGTTTCTCAAATAGATAGGGTTTCAAATATGTCGAAAAGGTTACAAACATGTCAGAAAGGGTCTCAAATCAGGAAGAGTTTCAAGCAAGTCACAAAGGGTCCTAACTATGTCAGGAAGAGTCTCATTAAAAAATAACATAATACAAGTTATTGAATGTCTCAAACATTTTAGAAAGAGTCTCAATTTTGTCAGGCAGTGTTTTAATATGTCTGATAGGGTCTCATACAAACAGAAAGAATCTCACATCAGGAAGGGTCTCAAAAAATCAGGAAAGATTTCAGATATGTCAAGAAGGGTCTTGATATGTCAGGAGAGTCTCTAACATAAGGAAAAACTCAAATACATTAGTAAGGGTTTCAGATAACTAAGGAAGGGTCTCAAACATGTCAGAAAATATCTCAAATACAGATATATAAGAAGGGTCTCAAATACATTGGGTAGCTTCTGAAACAAATCAAGAAGGTCCTCAAAGCAGTTGGGAAGAGCTTTAAATGAATCAATAAGGGTCTCAAACAGAGAAAGAGTTTCAAATACATCTAGGTAGGTCGCAAACAAGTTGGAAAGGGTCTCAAACAAGCCATAAAGCTCTAAAATGTGTCAGGAAGAACCTCAAATAGACAGAAAAGGTCTAAAACACGTAATGAAGGGTCTCAACAAACCAGGAAGTTTCTTGAAAAAGTCAAGAAGAATCTGAAATACATCATGAAGGATCTCAAATAGAATGGAAATACCTCCAATAGCCAGGAAATTTCTCAAATCTTTTAGGGAGGGTCTCAACAAAAGGGTCTTGCATATTCTAGGAAATGTCTCAAACAATTTAGGAAGAGTCACAAATACATCAGGAATGGTCTCAATCATTGATCAGGAATGGTCTCAACCAGATAGGAAGAGTCTCAAAGTATCAGGAAGAGGCTTAAAACATCAAGAAGAATCTCAAACAAGTCACTAAGTGTCTCAACTGTGTCAGGGAGGGTCTCAAACAAGTTACTAAAAATCTCAAACAGGAAGGAAGTGTCTCAAATAGAAAAAGTTTCAAACACATTGGAAAGGTTCTTCAACATGTCAGGAGAATCCCCAACATGAGAAGATTTTCTCAAAACAGTCTGGAGGAATCTGAAGTAGTCTAGAATATTATTTAATACATCAGGAGGGGTCTCCATATCCAAACATGTTTTGTTTTGTTTTTTTGCAAAACAATTGGAAAACGTTTATTATACTGAAATTGTATGTCCTACTATTAAAAAAAAACAAAGTAGCAAATTTGTTTGTTAGTGCCATAATTTATTTAACCTGTTTCATTGGGACAGACTAATTAATGCTGCTCAGCGTAATTTCAAGTTTGATGAGCTTCTATTTTCACCCCACTTCTAAAACCTGATGAGGAATTCAAAATAGCACATAGCATTAAATGACATTTATTGTTCCATAAATCTTGAGAACCAAAAAGACAAGCAATGCTAAATAGACAAGCAAAACTTAAACAATTAAGAGATAAGCTTACTTCTTTCCCAAGTGACTGGTCTAGAAAATATGTGGTCATACAAAAGCAAAGAGAAAAAGGACAGAAAAGAACGCTCTCCTCCTACAGGGTCTATAGGAGTTACAGATGTTTTTAAACCCAAGATGAAAATATTGAGACAGGGTTTCTTTATAGCGAATAATTAACCCCCTTTATGAGTAAACAAAATATCAAAGCTTTTAACCAGTAGTCTGTCTTCTGGGAGAGATTTCAAACTCAAAATTACTCATTCATATTTCCACCTGAACAAAGATGAGGATTAAATAGTACATTCAAAGCCAAAACACCTGGGTAAATGGACTGAGAGATGCTGTAATTAAAATGGAACAGAAGTTTTAGAAAGAAATTTTGGCTTGCTACACCATAGGCCTCAAAAATGCTTGCTCATGAATTTTGGCAAGGCTTTGGGTTTGAGGAGGAGATAACAGTAGATAAAAAATAAGAAAAAAAAAAAAAAGAAAACAGTGGATCCCTTTTGAAAAGTATGCTAGCAGACAAGCATTTGGTTTTTTAAAAGAGGCACCCTTTTTATGGAAAAAAAAGCTATTATGTGTTGTATAAAAAGCCCCTAAGTAATCACCAGAATGTTTACCCATGATTGTACTAAAGCTCAACATTCAAGGAGAGACGTAAGAGAATATTGAAGTACATTTTAGTGTCTAATTTATGACATCTAGTGTTTCCATGAATAATTTTATCTTGTTCATAACAAAGACACCTTAACACAAAGTCAGAAGCTATTAACAATTTTTCCCTCCACTTAGGTCACCTATTTCCAGTGTCTGGGGTAGGGCTTTAAAAATGTTAAAGAACAGGATGGCATGGGGGGTGGTCAGAGATGGAGGGAGGGAGGAAAATGGGAAGGAAAACCACATGAGTTTAAAAAAGAGGTTTCAAAAAATAAAAACCAGAAACTAAAATCCTAAAAATGGAAGAAGCAAAAGTTTTTCAATAAATCTGTGACAAAGCAAAAACATAAAAGTCTTTGAATCTATTAGGATTTACACCGATCCTCTCACCAAGGTACTCCTGGATAATGCAGTTTGCTTCAAGCCCATCTTCTTGGCTTGGATCTTCCCCAGTCTGGCATGATCACATCAGACGTACATCCTTAGACACGATTTCTTCCAAGAAGTGCCAAGCCTCTCACCTGACCACCAATGTCCACGGCAGCATGACGCATCCCTTCACACATAGTCCATGCTGGCTCCACAACAGCACTGTGCCCTCCCCTCCCCAGGTCAGCATATGGTTCAGGCAATAAAAGCCAAACTGGCACAGACAGGTAAATGCCCACAGTAAGTTTTTACATTCATTTCCAAACTGCATACAGTGTAAAAGACAACAAAGTCTGCTTCTAAGAACTCTATCTACTGGCCTCTGCCAGAGAAGCAGGCAGCTGTACCTCCAGAGCTGGATGCACGCTGTCCCAACGTGCTCACTCTCACGAGGATGCCCGGCTATGGCAAGACAGCGAGGAAATTCACCGCTCACACAGCTCATTAGAAGGGTCATCTTGACAGAATGAAGTCTGGCTTGAGGAAGTAACCGCTTGAGCTAAAGCCGACCCAGAAGGGTCATCTTGAGTTTTCTATATGAAACATTTCATACAGCAAAATTCCATCCCAAGACTTCTTAGATTCAGTCTTCACACACTTTTAAGCGTGACTTTATTTGGTACTGAATGTAGTTCAGTCCACATAAGACATCACTTCAAACACAGGTGGATACCATCACCGTTTTCAGCTTTTAATGTGGAGAATAAAAAACAACTCTCGTTTTGAAAGTTCTGAACCATCTGATCACTAACAAGAATGTGAATACCAGTAGGACCTTGTCTGTAAACCTGGTTAATTTTATGGAAAGGAATATTAAACACCAATGCAAGTTTTCGGGCAACTTCTGAGGCAACCATTTCTTCCAAGTAGATTGCATGATAAATGTACGGTATCCCAAGGCTGCTCTCGCCTCCGCTGCCTGCAGCTTGCTGCTGTCCTTGGGATGGTGTGCTCTTTGGCTGCTCCTGGCAGACATAGATGGTTAAACGAGGCCTATCCAACGTTGACCTCAGTGAATTATAGAGCCGAATTCCATCGGCTGCTCCACAAATTTGAACTAAATCCTCCTTGGTCAGTTTTAATAAGTCGGCACCTGAAAAATCAGAAAACAGTCTTGCGTAGGAAGAGAATCTGTTTTTGATCAGCCATTGCTGTGTTTCCTGGGTCGTAGCTGAAGGTTGAATCTGTTCACCAGAGGCCTGTGAAACACCATACCCCTGATGATTTGGCGAAGAAGAAATGCTGTCTGGGACACTGCAAGTGCTCTGCCATGGGGAGGTGAAAGTGGGCGCTGGAGAAGGGCTGTTGTTCACATAGGCCGTGGGGGTGCTGGGCCATGGAGAACAAGTGCTTCGCTTTGGCAGAGAATCACCGTAGTCTGCTGGCAAAGTCCTCTTGCTGGAGTTTTTCTGCTTATGTTCAAGTACATCTTCAAGGACAGGCTCAAGCCTCATCTCTGTGAGGATTGTGGTATCATAAGATGGCTGATACTTTTCTTTTTCGTGAGGTGTTCTCTTCTCCATCTTCTCCCGGTCATTTTTTTGTTTCCTGTCTGCACCTTTAGGCTTAAAAACTTTGATTTGGCAGCTAGCCGAGTGCAGATGATCTGTATATTCCCCGTTTTCATTCTGCTTAAAGGTGTCCACCTGGATCCTAAAAGGCACTCCCTTTTCACCTCCGTGCTTCCGTGGAGTAAATTCTGTGCTGATGCAGTGTACCTTAATGAAAGCAGACGTGCGTTTTGCAGGGTCCCACAGAAATTCAACTGCATGCAACTGGCTTGGATTTGTCCTTGTGTCAATTATTCCCACAGACAGTGGAATATCTAAATCGAGAAGTCTGTCTCCTGGGCGATTCCACTTCCAGCCTTCAAGTTGCTGATGCTGTGTATACTGTAGCCGTCTGTCATGGAACACAACCCTTATGATGCTCCTGACAAATTTCCCACTAATCTCAGTCATATCTCCCACTTTCCGATTATCCAGCAACCGAATTTCATAGGACTGACCTTGGTTCAAGTAAGTGAGAGTTTCATCATGCAGCTTTACTGCTGGCGATGTTGCAGCACACATCACATACCGAAAAGGTGGCTGTTCAGTTTCCCCCTCCAAGGGAAGGCTGCAGTCATCCGGCTGGAAAATGGGCAATGCCAAGACATCGCTCATGCTGTAGGCGCCGGCACCCGGCTCCTGCCCGATATCCGAGAGGCTGGTCTCGAAGTCGTGCATCAGCTCGGACTCGATCAGCTCGTCCATCTTGAGCACCCGGGCCATCTTCCGGCCTTCCAGCCCCCCCACGTAGCGCGGCCTCCGCGTCTGGGTCAAAGGGGCCGGAGCTGCGTGGGCGAGTCCCGAGAGGCGGGCGCGTGTGAAGCCTCCCGCGGCGCGGCGAGTTGTGGCCAGAGGTGACTCGGGCGGCCGAGGCGAGGGCGGTCGGGGCAGCGCTGGCAGGACACTGCGAGCCCGGCGAGCACTTGTAGCGGGAGCGGCCGGGCCGCCGGCAGCGCCTCCCTCCCGCGGAG